TCTGCGCATGCGCAGAAGGCTAAAATAACGCATCGCCAAGAGAACCGGTTCAGGGGCATGGCAGGCCTGGGTCGTTGCCAATTCCAGGCCGCCAAGGTATTACCACTTCACTGGAACCGGTCCGAACCGGTAGGAACTCACCTCTGGTGTCATAATAGCCAGAGGTGGGCAGCACATGAATTAACAACCGGTTCACCCATCCCCAACAATGTGAGAGCGTGAGTGCACATGCTCACTTTGCTCGTGTGTGCGCCATCCGCACATGTGCCTGGCCTTCCATGCATGTTCTTCACTTACTTGTGTGCCTTGCACACATGTGTGCGGCATCAATAACAAGGCTAAATAGGACAGTGTATCTCTGGGGCAGGTGGGCAGGCCCTTCTCACCTGCAGGTCACAGCTACCAGCTCTCCCGAACCGGTCCAATCCGGCAGCAGCCCACCAATGATATAGCATCTTATAACAGGGTATATAATCGTTGATAGTGGAAATCCACATGTTTGGGAATTAAACCTATGGATTCACTGGAATGCCCTGTGCCTTGGAGGAGATAAAAGAAGACAGCATTCGTTATCTGTTTATTGAAAAACCTTCTCATTTAGCAAGCTCACATTATCATTTAACAAGGTGTCAAGAAAGTTAAGATAAATGCCACGAAGGGGGAAGCAGAGTTCTGGTATTATAAACTTTTAATTATGAAGAAAGTTGTTTACTTCTTGCCTCCTTCTTTGTTAGGATGGCAATCTTGGTGAACCTGGCTCACGTGGGCCCGAGGGAATCCGTGGCATGCCTGGCATAGAAGGATTCCGTGGGCCTCCTGGCCCCCGTGGTTTGCAAGGGGAACAAGGGTCTCAGGGGCTGCCTGGCAGTCAGGGACCAGCGGTGAGTAACAGTTCCTTTTTTATAATATGAGTGTTGTCCTGGCAAGTGCAATTCCATTCTTCGAAGAATAGATGCGGGAAGAAGAATGTATTTCATACTGATTGGCTTGCTAGCATGGCTACCCAGTTATGAGTTAAGAAGGATCCTTTCTGTCACGACATTTGATTGGCTTTGCGTGGAGTGCTTTGAGTGGAACACTAGTGCTGTCCTAGCTGAAACAGCACATTACACAATGCAAGAGGGACGAAGACCTCCTTTTTTGCCCAAAATCTTAATGGGGTGCAGAGATTGTTACTTCCAGAGGCCTTCTGCATCCTGGGCAAGGGGTTACGACAAACACTGCCAATACATTTCAAGACCTTGAAGTCTGAAAGGGAAGCAATTGGTTGGGTCTCCAGATGGATCATAAATGGTTTGTGCTTTCCACGGAGCTTGAGGGTGACTCTCCCCACCTCTCCAGGGAAACGTGACCTGCCCCAGTTACAGCCCTAATTGAGAGCCTATATTTCTAATAGGTTCATTGTGAATCTATTAGTGTCCTGGATCCTCTACAACAGTGGTCTCCAACCATGGCAACTTTAAGACTTGTGGACTTCAACTNGTTCAAATCTCACCGGCTCAAGGTTGACTCAGCCTTCCATCCTTCCGAGATGGGTAAAATGAGGACCCGGATTGTTGGGGGCGATATGCTAACTCTGTAAACCGCTTAGAGAGGGCTGAAAGCCCTATGAAGCGGCATATAAGTCGAACTGCTATTGCTCTTGCCATTACGGTAGCCATGAAAAAAAATCACATTTGGACTGAATAGGTGGCAGGAAGAGTGCAGTCGATCTTTAACAGGAATTGCAAACAATTAAATTGCAAACAATTAATTAAAAAAAATAAAAATCCTGTACATCAGGCAAAAACGGTGTCGTCATTGTCCCCACCCGGAGGCCCTCTTGAGCCCATTTTCCAACTTCCGGTGGGCCTGGTAGGTCCGGTTTTTTTGCCCCCTCCAGGCTCCGGAGGCTTTCTAGGAGCTTGGGTAGGGCGAAAAACATTGCAACACACAAACCAGAAGTTCAGGAACGGACTTCCGGTTTGCAAGTTGTGTGGTTTTTTGCCCTCCAGAGGTTTTAGGGAAGCCTCTGGAGGGCAAAAAGTGGCCAAAAATCAAGGCCGAAAATCAGCTGGCCAGCACGCATGTGTGCTGGAGCTGACAGGGCAATGCCTCGCATGCCCTCAGAAATGCCATAAGTTTGCCATCACGGCAATAGCCTATTGCTGCCTCAGCAACTCCCTTTTCTCCATTTATTGCAAGGAGTTAAATTGTTGGGAGGCAGAGGCCAAAGGGTGGCAGCCGGTGGGTGGGTGGGGCTACATTTGGTGTATAAGACGCACCTAAATTTTTACCCTCTTTAAGGGGGGAAATGTCTTATATTCAGAAAAAATACAGTAAGTAAAATTAGACAAAACCAAAATTGTTTTAAAACGGAGCTTTGAAGTGATTATACCTTCTGAATCACAAATTACGCAGAACAAAATTCACAGGGATCATAGCACTCTTCAAGCAGCTTTTTGTTTTACATTCTTTGTACCACCTATGCTGCAGATCAGTGACGTGCAGTGAGGTTTATGGCTGGTGAGGCAAGCGGGCAAAAGCCGCCCTATATCGGACACAGCGGGAGGGCGTTCAGACGCCCTGGCATCGTGTCCGCCATAGGGGCGTCCTGCTATGTCCAAAAGCCCTGCCGCTATGTCCGACATAAAAAAAAGTGCCAGCCCGTGTGCCAGCAGAGGCGGGTAAAACACACACACACACACACACACACAAAAATTACTTACAATAATACAATTGCTTACAAATTACATTAATTTTGAACTCCTCCCCCTCCCTCCGACCCACATACCTTTTCCAGCTGTTTCACAGAGGATTTCAACTCTGCTCTTTCCTGCCATGATGAAAATGTAAAAAATGTAAAAGGAAAAAGGCAAGAGCTGCTGAGGTCAGGCTGGGTCAGCTGCTGCCAGAGCCTCCAATGGATGAGGTATTTTTTTTCTCAACTAAATGAACAAGTATAATGTTTTTGATTCAATGTTTGATTAGGTTATCTAGTTTGGGATGTGTGAGGGCGGATCACGTCTTAGGTCAATCTTATGCAGACAAAATGAAAATTCAAATGTGTTTAGAAACTTTTAAACACCGCTGTGTAGCAAATGGAAACTTTCACTAGTGCCTGAGGACAGTGAAGGAAGGATGGAGTAGCAATCAACCACACTTCAGCGGATAAGAAAGGGCATGTTTATTAAATAAAGGGGGTGTTAAAACTGGAGATGACCGGGAAACTGTAATATAAAGTATGAAGGTGACCATCAATAACTAGAAAACATATTATTCACCAGTGGAACTCAGAATATGTTAGATATCCCTACAGAAATATCAGATACTAAGCTTCACGGAAGGAGAAAGAGACACTGCTAAACAAAAGATAAGAAGGTTTTGTATTTTGTATTTGTATTGTATTTTATTATTTGTATGCCACCCTTCTCCGGGAGGACTCAGAGCGGCGAACAATTCAAGGGGGAAAAAAAGGGGAACATAAAAAGGTAGATCTTGCAGAATCAGAAATAAGTGATGTGTTCCCTGCAAGAAGAGCTATGATAGTTGGCAACTCACTATCTTACTAACGTAAAGAACAGAAACAGATGCATGCTGGCAGCCCTTATGCCTCTTCATATGGAGCATGGACAAAGGATTTGATAGAATTTCTTCAACACTAGTCAAGACCATCAACGTTTTATTTAGAAACTATGTCATCCATTCCGGTTAATATCTTAACATTGACTATAACAACTAAAAATACAAACTATAACAACTTGAAAGCTGAATCCCTTCTTGCTAAATCCATGTGGGATTATTCAGTTGTTTGGAGTGTAGCAATCTAGCAGAAGCAAATAGGAAAAAGAACTGCAGTCCAACTTGTTCAGAAATCCTAGTGAATTATCCTGGCAATGTTACAAACGTTTTGCTAAAATAAGAGGAGGAAATAATAAAAAGCAATGTTGCTCAGCCAAAAGGAAGATATAGATTATGGTTTTCAGAAGTAAATTACAGATATTTCAGAGAGAGAGAGAGAAACATAAAATGGTAAATGCTGGAGAACTTTAATTACCCTAACATCTATAAGAGCAAGCTCTGCCAAGCGTAGTCCTTTTAGGAAATTCCTGGCTATCAACTATTCACAACAATGGGAGAAATCAATTGAATCAATGCGGAATGAATAGGATGAGTACAATGCTTGTTTGCTTCACCTGAAGGGAAACCAAGACTTGTTGAATGTAGTAGCAATAGCAACAGGACTTAGACTTGTATACTGCTACACGGTGCTTTACAGCCCTCTCTTGAGTGGTTTACAGAGTCAACATATTGTTTCCCAACAATCTGGCTGAGTCAACTTTGAGGATCAAACTGCTGGCAGATGGAAGTCAGCAGAAGTAGCCTGCAGTTCTGCACTCTCACCAATGTGTCATCACGGCTCTTACATTCTTTAACAGAACAATGGAGTTGGAAGAGACCTTGGAGGTCTTCTAGTCCAACCCCTTGCACAAGCAGGAGACCCTACACCATTCTGGACAAATGGTTGACCAATCTCTTCTTTAAAACTTCCAGTGATAGAACACGCACAGCTTCTGAAAGAAAACTGTTCTAACAGTCAAGAGATTTTCTCTTTAGTCCTAGGTTGGTTCTTTCCTTAAATTAGTTTCCATCCATTGCTTCTTGTCCTTCCTTCTGGTGCTTTGGTGAATAGGTTGCCCCCCCCACTCTTCTTCTTTGTGGCAGCCCCTCAAATATTGAAACATTGCTTTCAAGTCACCCCTAATCCTTTTTTTCCCCACTAGATTAGAAATACACAATTTCTGCTACTGTTTTTCATATGTTTCAGCCTCCAGTCCCTAATTATCTTTGTTGCTCTTCTATTCCAAGTGCCTTGGTCTTACCAAAGCATTATAAAGTGGCACTACTGTAACACTTCACGTGATCTTGATTCTATTCCTCTGTTAATGCAGCCTAGCTTTGCATTGGCTTTTTTGGCAGTTGCCCCACACCGCTGGCTCATACTTAAGTGATTATCCACTAAGACTTCAAGATCCCATTTGCAACATTCAATGAATGCTTTGAAGTTCAAGAAAGTGTATTTTGTTGATCTCAGAACAATCATTAATAAGATTCTAGGGCTAAAGAAGCTAATTTTAAAAAAGATCAAA